GCTATAAGATATTAAGGGACTTGACCAATTGACACAGTTTCTAAGTGTCGGAGGTAGATCTCTTGACTCCAGCATTATTAATCCATGACTATGCTGGAGTGCTTCTCATGTCTAATTTGGGCCAGTGACCAATGGACTAACTCACAGGGTTCAGGTTCCCTGCCTGTAAACTGTGTAGAATAATCTCAGCCTCTCTTAACTCACACAGGGTTCTATATATCAAATAGGAAATGTTTATCCAAGCAAAAGTCTATAAAGATAAAATGAACCAATAAAAAAACGAGCAGAGATTTACACCATCTCCAAAGGAGAGTGCTTTGAAAATGGCGGGTGTCCATGAGTCGTAGCTAATTTGCTCAATGGGTAAAAGTAAGCCACTCAGTTTCCATCCTGTTGATCTTGGGACAGAGATAAACTATTTCAAAGCCACAGCCATAATCATCTTGCAAATGTATATATTTGGTCCAGGGAGGGGCTAGTAAATTTTTAACAGCCAGCTCTCTGGGGGAAAAAAGCATGCTGGGGTAATAGGCTTTTAAGTTTAAACTACATTATTAACATTTTTTCCATCATTTTCTTGAGTCTAGCATCAATTAACAAGATAAATACACCTTAATTTGTAATGTTTGCCAACTTCCAAAGTAAATGGGTATTAGGTGGTGCAGTGGGTAGAGTATCAGGCTTGGAATCAGGAAGATTCATTTTCCTGAGTTCAAATGTGGCCTCAGACATTTACTAGCTGTATGACCCTGGGAAAGTCACTGAACCCTGTCTGCCCCAGTTTCCTCATGTGTAAAATGAGCTGAAGAAGGAAATGGCAAACCACCCCAGTAATCTTTGCCAAGAAAACCCCAAATGGGGTCACGACGAGTTGGACAGGATCGAAGAACAGCAACAAGGTAGGAATGCTCACACTGAAAATTTAACAATTGACTCTTAGGGGCTGGTTGGAGCTGGCCCTACAGACCCCTGGGTAGTCCCAGGAGGGAGCACAGACAGTTCAATGCTTGGCCTCTAAATTTGCAAGCATAGCTTAAGTCATCATGTCTTGCCAATTGGGGCGGGGTTGTTCTGAGGAAAGAAAGTGTCCGCAGAATCTAAATTTTTATTATTGGCATACTAGAAGCAATCCTGGACAAGAAGTGAGGAAACTTGGGTTCTTTTCCAGCATTACCACCTACTGACTAGCGATGTCACCTTGGACAAGAAATTTTCCTCTGTTTCTTCGTATTAAAACAAAGGGGTTGGTCGATATTATTTCTAAGGTCCCTTAGAAATCTAGGATTTACTAGTAATCCTCAACTGCCCTCTAGTGGCCTTGGGAAGCCAACGTGCCAAAGAAGAAAACCAACTGGAGTTTATTTTGATCTGAGCCTGGTCCCCAGCCGGGCTACAGAGGCCTGCCAATTTGCAGATGGGAAGAGAAATGAAAAGGGCATGAGCATTTATTAATTGCCTATTATTCGCCATGCGCTGTGCTAAGCACTTAGATGGGTAGAAACTTAGGAGCAAACCGATTACCTCGCAGAATTTCTGTTCGGTTGATATTAAGTTAGAATGGTTGACTTGCTTTTGTGAATTTGGGGATTTTCAAACTTTTTATTAAAGCTTTGTTTTTGTTTTGTTATTTCAGTTTCCTTGGGACTTTGATGAGGGTACTTCAGACAGGTGGAGAAGAGTACATTAAACACTAATAAGCCCTCACTTTGGGTACTTTCTTTGCCAGACTTTTTTTTTTTACCTTGCAGTACTAGGCAGAAAAGGGGAGGAGACTTGGTATGAGTTACAGGAAGGTAACCTGCTAGTTCTCTGCTATCGGGACATTCCCATGACCCTGTTTTGAAACTCTTGGGATGTCAGTTTGAATTCTGAGAGATTTAGAAAGGAGTTGGTTTTGTTTTTCAGGAAATCCAATTTTAAAAAATAGGTAAAATTACAATTGTGTGAATTAATGACTCCCTATTTCACCCCCCTCCATCTCCCTCCCCGGTTCTTAGTATTCAATCTGAGGGAGACGTAAACCTTTCTGTGTTTGAGCCTGAGCTTCCTCATTGCGCCAATGAGAACCCTGCGTATAAATGGGGATGAGAGAGAGGAAAACACATTATCCAATTACAGACCCTTTCAATTGTACACCAATATCTTTCCAGTGACCTTCGCAATTCTGTAGTGAGGATTCCAATCCCATCAATCTTTGGGACCAGAAAGACTCTTCGTGTCCAAAGAGGTATTTATAGACATTGTAGAACGGGCCTTTTTTTTTTTAAAGCTGGGAGTTAAAAAAAAAAAGGTCTTGGGAAGAAGACAGAAGGGGAGAAAGGAGATTGGCTGGCTAGGTAAAGGCACCCATATGCTACATCTTTTTCAAGCCTGAGGATTTGGTTCTGCTGCTCGGCATGGGTTACCTGATTCCATCTGTGATAGGACGGCAGCAACTGATTCCCGACCTGTCGGCCTTCAGTGAAGTGCACAGCACTGGCAGCCCGTACGTTGAGATAGAGTTCCTTCTGTGCTCAGACCAAGGACACGTTGTTACCCCAGGGTTTATAGCTTCCTGTTACTGGATTTGGGGCCAGGCCCATGCTGGACTCACAAACTTCCGCCCTTGGGGAGTTAGAAAGAAGTAAGAAGGTATGCTTCGGGTCCTGGGCCTTGGAGAGTACTTGCATTTGAAGTAATTTCTTGATATCACAAGGGTTTTCTGTTACAGTTAAATATTCTTTCTCTCACCACTATAATTTGAGGTTGTGTGATAAATCTTGCTTGGTCTGAAAGAAGGAGATTCATTGGGTCGAAGGTTCTGGGGCCCTACTAGTGTGAGTAATTTTGGACCCCGTGTTCTAACATTTGAGACATCATGATACAGTGGAAAGAGATTCGTGGTCAGAGGACGTAGGTTCAAACCTTCCTTCTACCACTTGACGCTCTATGAGACTTTGGGCAAGTTCTTTAACCTCTCTGGGCCTCCGTTTCTTCATCTCCAAAATAAGAGGGTGGGACGAGGTGACCTAACGTCCCTTCTACCTCTAAATCTGTTAGTCCTATTTTTGATCCTGGGCACTACTACATTTGTCATCTACTTGAATCTTATTTCAACATTAAATTCACTTAACCACATCATCAATTTATACACAACCCCCCAGAGACTTTCCAGTTTTAGAAAAGAAAAAAAAATCCTACCTACCTATAAAATAGCAAATTTTTACTAAAAAACCAAAAATATTTTTTACAAATTTGCCTGCGTAATGTAGAAATTTCAGCTCAACTTTGACCCATTAAATGTACTGACAGAGAAATGAGGACCTAGTTTGTAGCTGGGCAATTCTCTGAAAATGAGCTATGGGCTATATATAGACATAAGCCATGCAGGCTGACCCATGTCCCTGATTTCACCCACTCTTGTGTGAAGGAGAGAAGTCATTGTTCTGTGTCAGGTGAGGAAGGTGTAGGGAACACAGCAATGATCCCTCTGAGCCTCAGTTTCCTTATCTGTAAAATGAAGGTCTTGAGTGGTTCACTTTCTAAGATTCCTTCTGGCCCTAAATTCTATGATCCTACAATGAAGGTAAATTTCCCCAGGATCATCCAAGCAAATGGCGAAAAGGGCTAGATTCCCTAGGTGAATATTCTACCTACTGTCCCCAGTACAAATTTCTCCCCACAGGCTGCTTATTGGGACTTCCAGAAGACACTGACAAGTGTAATGGTGAGGCTCCATTGCCTTTGTTAGGTAAAAACATGCGATGGCTGGTTAAAACAATCTATCAGAACTGAGTGTAAACAGGGCCCGTAAACCTCCTTGAATCAATCAAAGCCATTGCAGGAGACACTTGATCATGCCTGGAGGAACATGTATAAAAAGGTGGAACAATTTCAGAACCACACAGAGATTGAGAGGGTCTGGATGCAGAAAGAAAGGAGTAGGGCACACAGAACTTAGATGGAAACAGCCAGCAGCACAGGGGCAAAAAGAGAAAGAAGACAGGACTGAGCTATGGAAGAGAAAAGAAAGACTGAGGAGAGCCATCAGCCTTACCGGTATCTCAGAGCAAAAGATTCAACTTGAATCTGCTACCAGAAATAGAAGAATTACCAGTTCTATCCACCAATAAGGGACTGAGGGAAATTCCAAGAAAAGGGTCTGTTCTATCTCCAGCTTCCCTACCCAGGCCCATAAGCACTGTAATAAAACCTGTTGCTTTGTGATTCAAACATTTCCAGCAACCTGAATTTTGCCTCAACTACAGAGAAGCCAGGAGCTAAGTAGAGCTACACATAAGAGTGCTACATGTCTATCCGAATGTTAGGGGTCTTCCTGAGGGCTCATAATAGCTATGGTTGTACTCCTAACTTTTTGTCGAAAATTTGTTGTTGTTATTGTTGTTCAGTTGTTTCAATTGCGTCTGTCCAACTCTTCATGAATCCTTTTGGGGGTCTTCTTGGCAAAGATATTGGAGTGGTTTACCATTTCCTTCTCCAGCTTATTTTACAGATGAGAAAACTGAGGCAAACAGAATTAAGTGACTTGCCCAGGGTCATACAACTAGGATATGTCTGAGAAGATGAGTCTTCCTGACTTCAGAACAATGCTCTAGCCCCTGTACCACCAAAAATAAATTCCCTAAAGCCCTAGAGGAAGAACCATTATATTTCCCGTAGGCTTAAAACAAGCTAAATACTATAATAAAGTGTTACACAAGTCAGTGGGGAGCTAGGCTCCCATGGAGCAGTTGGAGTGAATCGGAGTACTCACAAATCTAAAGCAGAAATGCAAGATAGGGACAGCTAGGTGGCGCAATGGATAGAGCACCAGCCCTGGAGTCAGGAGGACCTGAGTTCAAATCTAGCCTCAGACACTTGACTCTTACTAGGTATGTGATCCTGGGCAAGTCACTTAACCCCATTGCCAAGAAAGAAAGAAAGAGAGAGAGGGGGGGGGAGGGGGGGGAGGGAGAAAGGAAAAGAAATGCAAGAGAGACACCAATGTTTCCTCTAGGAGAGGTTGTGGGAGGAGGTCTTTATTCCATTAGTAATCAATACATCATTCATAGATACAATCAGGGGCCCTGCCGGAGGAGCACTAAGGAAGCAGAATGGGAGGGAAAGCAAGGGGCGAAGAGAACATGAGAGTGGGCACCCAGACCCCCCCCCCTGCACCACACAGGACTTTTTTCTACATGACAGATAGGAAGTGTCCCTCTCATTATGATAAGGACAGCAATGGTTAGAGTGGCTCTTGGGTAAGGTGGGCGTGTTCCACTTTGTGAGTAACTTAAGGTCATTGTTTTGTTGTTTGCTGTTTTCTATGAGCACCGGTACTACTGGGTTGTGCAATAAGAACGCTCTGAAGCAGGTGTAAGGACGGTGCCAGTGGACAGTTGCGGCTCACTATAAGCTGAGTCCCTCAGAGGCGAGTCTTGAAGCCTACCTTGGGAAGAGCAGCCGGGGAGAGCAAGGTCTCCTGACCACAACCAGAAAGTGCAGAAAGCAAGGCAGATGGGGGAAAAAAGAGTGACTTTAGGGATTCTGCCAGTGATTATAAGAGTTGGGGGGGGGAGATTAAATATTTCCAAAGAAAAATATACTTTGTTCTCAGAAAAAATTAAGTTAAAAAGCAGCGTAATAAGGTAAATTTCAGTGCCTCCAAAATGTCAGGAAGATCAAGCAAAATAAGTAGCTCTCCAGTGGAGAGGAGCTACCCGGTTTTGTGGGGCTACAATCAATGTGGGAGCTGCTTATGTGGAGGTGGCGTTGATGTTGATGAGAAATATTTGCTTTGTTATCCCTCACTACAGGCAACAGTCATACATGGTGCCCACACGTGGCGTCGAGAGAAGCGCAGTTGTGTGCTACTTAGCCAAAGGGGAGGGCAGAGGCATAACCAGGCTTCAAAGCCTGTCTAGAATGGCACAGCGAGTCGATAGGATTTGTGCAGAGGAGGGAACCAGGAGCCCAGGACTGAGACCCAGGGTTAATATACTACTGCCTCACAGCTGCATGGCTGACAGAGAAAACTTCTGGGGTCTGTGGTTCCATAGTGAGTGTCGGGGTGAGAGCTGGGACCTCTCATCACTGGACCCAGGCATAGGGAGAGGCATGTGCTGGCCTGCTTCTCACACTGCCACACCCCTGCTTCACGTGTACGCCATCTTGCTGCATACCCAGGGCCTGGTCATCAGGCAATCTGACGTGACGAGTCTGGTGGGTTCCACGAAGACACACTCCCCATGACCTGAGACAGAGAACCTGTGGGAGAAAAAAAAGAACTCGATTTATTCTAAACATATGAGAAACATCAGAAATGCCATCAGAAATGCTAGACTCTTAACACAGTGCTTGACATCCAGTAGGCCTTAATAAATGCTCTACTTCTGTCATCTACCAGGTCAGTCTTATGCCTCTTCAGTACGGTATTTTATCTCTGATGGGAACACTTGTTTTGTAGGAAAACATAATAGTTTCCATCCAGAATCAGAATAGGGGTGGGTAGGGAAGGGAAATGAAGGGAACAAACATTTATTAGATGCCTACTACATGTTAGGTTTACAAACAATATCTCATTTGATCCTTGCAACAACCCTTGTAAGGTAAATGCTATTATTATAATGCCCATTTTACAGTTGAAGAAACTGAGGCAGATAGGGATTAAATTATTTGCCCAGAGTCGCACAGCTAGTAAGTATCTGAGGTGAGATTTTGAACTCAGGTCTTCCTGAGGGTAAGCAGCTGCCCAGGCCACAACATGAGGCAGAGGGAGAACGCTTTGTTAATGTTTTTGTTTCTGTTCTAGACCAGTAATTTCATCAGTGTGAGTGAATCCCCAGTGTAGAAACTACCTCCATGATGAAGATGGGCAACTTAGTTGCTACTGACAAGTCTTGAAGAATTGTCTGGGGTACAGAAAGGATAAGTAAATGACTTTTCCCAGGTCACATGGCCAATATGTGTCAAAAACAGGACTTGAGTCCAAGTCTTCCTGAGTGCAAGGCTGGCCTTCTGTCCATGGGCATGACTGCTTCTCTTTTAAACATTCCTTTTTATTAATGTATGTATTTGTAATGCTAGAAAAGTCCATTTCTCCATGGCTTATTTATTTAGTCATGAATAAATGAATGAATTCACACATACATGAATGAATGAATGAATGAAAGAAAAAGGAGGAGGATTGAAGTGCTTACTTTTTGCCAAGTACTGTGCTAAGTGCCAGAGATAAAAATACAAAAGCAAAGAGAGTCCTTGCCTTCAAGAAGCTAAGTTCTAATGGAGAAAACAACACAAACAGAGGGGCAGTGACCAGGGAAGGGCACTTTGGTCCCAATGTTGAATGGTCAAAAGGAAGTAGATTGGGGCAGTTAGGTGGCAGTGGATAGAGCACCAGCCCTGGAGTCAGGAGGACCTGAGTTCAAATCCAACCTCAGACACTTGACACTTACTAGCTGTGTGACCCTGGGCAAGTCGCTTAACCCCATTGCCTAGCCCCCACCCCCACAAATCAAAAGGAAGTAGATTGATACACCCCATCCCAGCACAATTGTTGATTTTGACCATTGGCCATGGTTCTAGGATTACCCCTTCCTGTGCGTTTATTTGTATTTGTATTTGTAACCCCAGCACTAAGCACAGTGTCTAGACATAGGAGGCTCCTGGTAAGTGATTAATTGATAAGCCAAATGTGTTCTAGGGAAAACTCAAAGCGTCCCCCAGACACTAACACACTGAGGCACCATTTTGAAGATTCACCAAGGATGCACACTTTGTCTCTCACTGGGCTATTGCTGTCATGGGTTGGGGATGGGCCTGAAGCAACCTTGACTTCCCATCAGTCTGTCACCCAAGAATTCACCTACATCCTTGAACTTACTTTTCAGCTCGTTCCATCAGAGAAAAGGCCTCTAACACATTGGGTGGCTCCCTCCTGGAGGGTGTGTGAGACACAGACAAGCATCACACAGGATGAGAAGGTATCCGTTGCAGGACACAGATGATGCATAGAGGAGATCACGGTCCCATCACGCCCCACCTTTTGGGGTAAAAAGTTCCATAACCTTCCTAGTGACCAGGTGCAATAGTCCAGCCCCTTTCATGGTACACAACCCCCCTGGCTGCCAGTACATTGTCCCTCCTCAAATTATTACGTATTTACTTATGTGTTCACGTGTATCTCGGCCACAAGTTGTTCCCGCCACGGAGAATGTAAACTCCCTTTGGGTAGCTATTTTTTTTTTTATGTCTTCTTTTTGTGTTCCCAGCCTACCATCGTGCCTTGCCCATAGTAGGCAGTCAAATATTTTAATCAAATTATTGTACCTAGTAGGCGCTTAATAAAGATATTTATTGGAATGGCGGGGAGCAAACATTTAGTAAAAGCCCTCTAAATAACAGGTACTGGGCTAAGCACATTATAAGGACTCCTTAGAGCCTCAGAACCGTGGGAAGTAGGTACTCTTATTATCCCCGTTTTCCAGATAAACTGAGACAGAGATAAGTGACCAACATCACATAGCTAGTAAGTGTCTGAGGTCATGATTTAAACTCAGACCTTCCTGACTCCAGGCCCAGCACTCTATCCACTAGGCCCCCTAGCTGCCTCAATTTATATCCTCGAAGCTTCAAGGAAATCCTCTGGTTCTGGCTCTTAAGAAGGGCAGCATGGAAAGAGCATTGAACTCGGATCTGGGTTCGAATCCTGACTCCAATGTTTCCTAGTCATATAACCATAGACAAGTCACTGCCCATCTCCGAGCCTCATTTTCCTCGTCTCTGAAATAGGGCTGCCTATACAGGGTTGTTATGAGAATCAAATGAGATAATATATATATAATGAGTTTTATAAACTATAAAGCACTTTATAAACCTTGATGCTATGCAGATATTCTCTGTTATTTGTTTCCTATTATAATGATTAAAATATTTGTTGACTGCCTACTATGGACAAGGCATGATCTGTAGGTTTTCAGATTATTGCATTCACCAAGACAGAAGATCCTTAAGACTGTTGTTTTTAAGCCTGCCTACGGTAGGCTCTTAATAAATGCTCCCTTAAATGATATTGAATAGAATCGAACGCTCTGATGCTAGCCATGAGCCTGGAATAGGATCTCACAGGAGATTCCATTAGTAGGTCTGACGACTTTGAGTCACCTGGCAAAGAGTTAGACTGTTAGGATGTCAGGCACGAAACTGCCCAGTCGTGTGGGGTGTGGGGATGGGGGATAGTGAAGTGGGACGATAATAGAGAGAAACACAGACTGTGGGCTTTCCAGGGCTCTCAGTGAAAATCTCTGCCTCAAGAGACAACGGGGGTTGTGAAAGGTGCCCAGGTCACCTCACGAGGATGGGACTTTCCAAGGTCCCTGGAGAAGATGAGCAACGCAAGGCCTGCAACGCAGCAGGTGCATTGTAACTGTTCGTCGGTCGGTTGGTTGACTGAGCGGGTGGTAGAGAAACACAGTCTTTGACTTTGAGCTCAGAGGTCACCCGGTCCACGTCCCTCATTTTCCAGGTGAGTGGCTAAGTGACTTGCCCCCAGACCAGCCAGGTAGCAAGTGGTTAAGGCAGGATGTGGCCCCCCGGCCAACGTCAGCACTCCTTGTGCTCTATTACATTGGCAAAAAAGAGAAGAAAGGAGAGGGGGTGAAAAGGATCTGGAAAAGGAAGCAGAAATGAAGAAGCAGACAGAGCCAGAGGAAAAAGGAGTATAAGAAAAGGTGGCTCAGCTAAAGGTCAGCCCGGGAAAACATTCCTGCTGCTGAGGCCTCGGGTAGACCGCCCTGCCATGAATGCACAGACACAAAGGGACCTCAAGACACCTTCCCTGCTTTAGGCACCTTCCCCCCTCTGCTTGGCAGCACCCACACTATTTCTGCCATGACAGGGTTTAAATGCCTTGATCTCTCCCATGTCCATCATGTCCTGTTTTTAGAGTCAAATGGTCTAAAATTAAAATTGTCACCAGACGGCTTCCTAACTACAGTTCATAGAAATACAGAATTTGAGCTGTCAGGGACTTTACAGTAAATCTCTCATTTTACAGCTGAAGAGACTGAGGCACAGTGAGGCAAAGTGACTTGTCCAGGATCACACAGCTAATGAATATGGCACAGTGGATAGAATGATGGGCCTGGAGACAAGAAGACTTGAGTTCAAATCCAGATACTTCCTAGCTGTGTGACACTGGGCAAGTCACTTAACGTCTATCTGACTCCATTTCCTCAACTAGAAATCTGGGATAATAATACCACCTACCTCACAGTTTTGTTGTGAGCATCAAATCAAATGAGATAATATTTGTAAATTGCCTGGCACATAGTAGGCACTTAATAAATGCTTGTTCCCTTTCCTTCCCTTCCCACTCCCTATTTCCAAGTCCAGTACCCTTACCTACTATGCTATGCCTTGCATTCTTACTCCCACATCCATTGTCTCCAAAGTAAAAACTTTCTTCCCCAGGAACAGGGAATTCTGGTTATTAACAGAGGATTATAAGGAAAGCACCTGTCCCACAACCTGTTGTCAACAAACAGAAGATGGAAAGCCAGCTTACTCTTCCGGGTGAAATGGATCTCCATTGACCCAGTGAAATTCGTCCCCCACTCTCCTCAGGCCAATCCAGGGCTCCTTCCTGGTGAATTTGAACATAAATTCCTATATCAAGAAAACAAGTAGAACCTTGAGATCAGATATCTCCTTCTGACATTTCCATGTGTCTCAGAACAAACCATAATCTTTGAGCCGAGACGGGAAGGCTATTGCTTCCTTTCCTCAGTGAAGTCAAGATTCTGACATGAAAGCTTCAAGCCGGATCATGCACTGGCCGTATTATATGGGACAAATTTTAAATCTCAGACTGCCCCCAGAATGCTCTGTCTGCACTATCTTCCCCTGTGCTCAAGAAATGTCATGTAATGCATGCCAAAGGCAGGGGGAAAAAAAGGATTTGGGGAACATCTGCCATTTTCTATCAAATGATATATGTTATGTCAAGCAATTTTTAAATCTTCAACTTTCTAGTCTATAAAATGTAAATAAATAAGCTTGCATTGCCTACCTCACAGGGTGCTTTTGAGGAAAAGGCTTCACAGGTCAATCAACAAATGTTTATTTCTCGAGCGCCTACTATGTTCCCAGCCCTTTGTTGGGCAAGCACAGGGGACAGAAAGATAAAAAATTATAAAATTCTTGCTCTCGCTTACATGTGAGTAGTATTGTTGTTGTTTTGTTTTAGTTTTGCCTTTCACACATATTTTTTAAATTCACAGGTATTTCATTTCAAATCAGGAAGCCTGCATTATCAAATTCTTTTCCGGACTAACACTGCTGATCAAGGCCAAGGCTTTATTAAAACAATTAACTTTTATAACAAAAAGCATAAACAGAGGGTTGATTCCTCAGTTTTCTTTCTCCTTGTTCCCTGACCACATACAGAGAGGATTCCTATTGACCTAAATACAACTAAGTGGGTTTTATGAACTCTTCTCCCTAGAAACATTTAAATGACAAGTACTCGGTTGCTGGATTCCTACCCTGGAGAGCACCTAGATTTTGGCCCGATGTCCCGTCCTGAGTCATACTCACCAACTCCTTCTGGCTCTGGATCACAGTTAGGGATGCCTCATGAGTGTGGCAGTACTGGCGCCCTGTGTTCCAATCTCTTGGTTCTTCCGAAAAGAAATAGCATTTCCTTCCATAGAGTAACCAGTCTTCTGGGCATGGAGCATCACATTTGATACAGCCCTTGGAAGCTGTGGGAAAGCAAAAAAAAAAACCACTATGAGGCTATGGATTTGGGAAAGGGCACAGCAAAGTCTCACGATCCTTAACTTGGTTCAGAGTTCCTCTTTTGGGCTTAGGGAAGAGCAAATGGGCTGTGACAGGCTGACATCCTACAGGCTTCTCGAGAGAGGAAGGACCAGAAGCTGACTCCCTTGTATAAGCAACCCCAGTCTAAGCACCATATTGTTGTTGTTCAGTTATTTCAGTTGTGTCTGACTCTTTGTGACCTCATTTGGGGCTTTCTTGGCAGGCATACTGGAGTGGCTTGCTGTATCTTTCTACAGCTCATTTTACAGACAAGGAAACTGAGGCAAACAGGGTTAGGTGACTTGTCCAGGGTCACACAGCTAGTGTCTGAGGCCAGATTTGAACTCAGGAAGATGAGTCTTTGTGACTTTAGACCTGGCGCTGTATCCACTGCACCACTGCCCAGAGTCCCTAAGAATTGGAAAGCCTCTTGTTGTTGTTTAAGATGATGATGATGATGATGGTGGTGGTGGTGGCGGTGATATCAAGCATTTATATAGTGTTAGTAAAGTTTGCAAAGCACTTTGCAAATATTATCTCTTTTTTATTCTTCCAACAACCCTGTGAGGTAGATAATATTATAATCCCCCATTTGAAAATAAGGAAACTGAGGCACACATAAGTTTAGTAATTTGCCCAGGGTCACACAGTAAGCAGCTGAGGTAGGATTGAAATTCAGGTCTTCTTGTCTCCTGGTCCAGTGCTCTAATCCACTTTTAACACCTAGCTGTTTACAAACTCCAGTCCCCTGAAGCACCCCTCCCAGATGCTGACCAAGCTTCTGTTTTAATACTCCCAGTGACTGGGAGCATTTCCACCTCTTCATGCAGCTTTCTCGTGCTATGTATATTTGGACAGATGTAATTGTTTTTAAAATCCCTTCTTACACTGAGCCAGAGAGAGTCTCCCTTTAATTTCCACCCACTGGTCCTAATTCTGCCATCTGGGGCATCATAGAGGAATGACTTCTCTGCAGAACAGTCCTTCTGATAAGAAGGATACGAAGACAGTTCATCATGCCTGCCTTTGAATCAAAGCTACAAGGCATGCAAACAAAAAGCCCACCTGGCCAACTGCTGAACTAAGGGAGGAAAGTGTAAGGTAGAAGGGTTTTAGATGTTTGTTGGTTTGGTTTGGTTTTCCCCAAGAGAAGAGTTGTACAAGGGGAGGAAAAAGGGGCAAAGAGGGGGCAGCTAGGTGGCTCAGTGGATAGAGCATCAGCCCTGGAGTCAGGAGGACCTGAGTTCAAATCCGGCCTTAGACCAAACATTTGACACTTACTAGCTGTGTGATCCTGGGCAAGTCACTTAACTCCAACTGCCTAAAATTAAAAAAAAAAAAAAGAAGAGGCAAAGAACAATGGACAGGGAATGAAGAGAGAGAGGTTTTGATCCCGGCTTGACCAGGTAGGCACTGTGTGCCCTTAGGCAAATCATTTCAATTCTCTGGGCCTCACTTCTTTCATGTATGAAATAAGGGTAACAGATTAACCTCTCTTTCTGGTCTCGTCTACATCTCCTGTTCTAGCATCAGCAGATTCTGTGAATCTAGTCAGTTCTCTAAGTTAAAAATGCTCATTTCTTTCCAACATCCCTCATCATTACAGTTTCCAAAACCCTCTCTACCCTTACCTTCTCACTTTTCCCCCTGAGAGAAATGATTATTAGTAACCAATGATTTGGGGAGATCCAGAGTTTCCCCCTTTTTCTAGAGTCCTCATCTCAAAGTTCAGTCTCTTGAAGGACATTACTGATAATGAGATTGAATTAACTCTCCTCACTCTTGGTCTGACCCCACCCAACCTTACAAAGGAATTTGAGGTGAAACTCCCAGCCAATGTCTTCTGCTCTGGCTTGGGTAGGGGATAAATTCTTTGATTAGATTGCCCAAAGCTGGGGGTAATTTAGAAGTAAAAGACATAATCAAAGTTCATTAGAATAGGTCCAGGCACTCAGAATATTCATTCTCTCATTAATTAACCAATCAGAATTGATCCCCACCCTCAGGGACATGCCTCTTCCAAGAGCATACAAGCCAACAGCCTGCTGCCATGATTGTCTTTGGCACTCAAGAGTGCCACTGATTTCTTTTATTAAAATGCTGGCATTGTTAATAAAATGACTAATTACTCAGGAATTATGTCTCTCTAACTTTTTAAATGCCACAATCCCCCAAAACATGCCAGTTCTACTTCTATTCCCAACCAGCATATTGATTAAAATATCCAAGTGAAATATAAAAATAGACCTTTCACCTACAGAAACTGGTCAGCTATTGACATATTGTGCAACTGTTCATCACGTGAGGATCCATCTATGGCTCTGTTAACTGTCCCAGGACAGAGGAGTGAATTCTATAAAAAGTCCTCTGTGAATCATTCAAGAATGTGCATTGCCTTAATAATGACCTGGATTTTGTGTGTGTGATCTGAGGCCATTGGTGGTAAAAGGAGAGTTAATCAGCGATAATTGAAATATTAGTGTTACTCAGACAGTTAAACTATTGCCTAAAGAAATAGCCAAGGAAGCTAGGTGGTGAAAAGGATAGAGTGCTGGGCCCAGAGTCAGGAAGACTCTTCTCCCTGAGTTCAAATCTGGCCTCAGACACTTACAAGCTGTGTGACCCTGGGCAAGTCACTTAACCTGTTTGCCTCAGTTTCCTCATCTGTAAAATGAGCTAGAGAAGGAAATGGTAAACTATTCCATTATCTCTGCCAAGAAAACCCCAAATGGCATCACAAAGAGTTGGAGAGGACTAAAATGACTGTATAACAACATGAAAAAGAAATATTCTCAGCAGGACAGCAGGAGCTTGCCAAAGACTTTCAAGACTGGGCATATTTTTTAAGTTACAAAGAATTGCTCCATCAACATAAACTAGCTTTGGCTACAGTTTGACAAAAATTTGAGATGTTGAAGAAGAAAATCATACAAAGTTTCAGATTACAAAGGAGTATTACCTTGCCGGAATTAGGCACTTAGAAACCCTTAAAGAAAAGACTAAAGGGGGCGGCTAGGTGGCACAGTAGATAGAACTTTGGCCTTGGAGTCAGGGGGACCTGAGTTCAAATTTGACCTCAGATACTTGACACTTACTAGCTGTGTGACCCTGGGCAAGTCACTTAACCCCAACTGCTCACCAAAAAGCAAAAAACAAAAACAAAAAACCTGAAGAAAATAAGAAGCTCAATTCACTTTTTGACACTGAAAGAACTGAAAGCTCTTCTGTCCTATCAGTGGTTTTTAGTGTTATGTTGTTAATGTTATAGTCCATGTATGGAAGTGAATGATGGAAGTGAATGAGCTAAGGAAATGAAAGAGCAGGCTAAAAAGTGAAAGCTATTTGGAGAATTTACAGAAGAGGTGCAAAGTTGTGACGCTCAGAGAGGCAAAGATATTTCTCAGTCTCTTCATGAAAGGAAAGCTCCTGAACAAGAAAAAAAATGCCAGCTTCAATGTAGCTGATAAAGTTAACATCCGCGTGTGTGAGCTTTTAATGGTGCTGGCTGACTAGATTTCAGGCCATCACCTTAGCAAACTGAGCCCAGAAGAATCTGAAGCAGATGATCGAAAACATCCAGGCCAACTTTTCACTCAGAAAACCTATATTCAAGAGAAAGTGGCAACGTTTTGGCCTCTGGTTGGCGAGTGGCTGCAGCGGCTGCTGTTAGAAATGATGAAAGAGATCGATTCAGAGAAACCTGGGAAGACTCATCACTTCCCCATCGAGCTGCAGAAATTATAGATTGGTAATCAGCACTGATCACAACAAAAATCTAAAGGAGGTTGTTGAGCAACTAATTTATGAATATGCAGAAAAGGAGCGAGTGATCACGAGGATCGCAAGATAGGCACTAGTGATAAGTTATACCAAGTTAACTGAGGCAGATCGAAGTGAGCAGAACCAGAACAATTTATACAATAGCTACAGCATTGTAAAGACAAACAGCTTTGAGAGGCTTAAGAATTTGGATCAATTTTGATTGGGATCAAACCTTGTTTGCCTCAGTTTCCTCATCTGTAAAATGAGCTAGAGAAGCAAATGACAAACCACTCTAGCATCTTTGCCAAGAAGACCCCAAAAGGGGTCATGAAAAGTTGGATGGGACTGAAAAATGACTGAAACACACACTGAATTAGTGTGAATTTAATGAACCTCTTTCAACCTCAGATTTCTCATTTGTAAAATGGGGATAATAATACCTTTAGCACTTACTCCACAGAGATATCATCCTCATGTCCTCATGCTATAAAATGAGACTTTATATAAAGTGCTTTGCTAACCTCAAAGTGCTATTTAAATATCGTTGTTACCTGGTTCACAACATTCACAGTGAGCTTGTGATCAACTAAAATCTCACGTGAACTCCTGCAAACCAGGTCATCCTCTCCTACGCAATTTTTTCTTTCCAGACTTTATGTTTATTTCTGTTACATGTAATTTTAATGGTTTCAGCCCATTATAACAGTCTATCAGGACTGTATTGAATTTGGTTTCTTTGGTGTATCCTATCATCTATTCCAGCTTGGTATCATAGGTATGCCTACTTTGTCTTCATTCACATCACTAATGAAAATACTGAACAGAACAGGGTCAAGGACTGAGTCCTGTGGTGCCCTGTTACTGACCTTTCTCCAGGTTGACTGGTGTATTAAGCAATCATTTTTACATACAGAACGCACCTAACTGGACTATATAATTTGTTGTTGTTCAGTTGCCTGACTCTTCAAGACCCCATTTGGAGTCTTCTTGGCAATGATACTAGTGGTCTGCCATTTCCTTCTCCAGCTTATTTTACAGATGAGGAAACTGAGGCAAATCATGTTAAGTGGCTTGCTCAGGGTCTTAGCTAGTAAGTGTGTGAGACTGGATTAGAATTCATGAAGATGAGTCTTGGTGATTCCAAGCCCAGTGTTCTCTCCACTGCACCGCCTCATTGCCAGAACTATATCATTACCTGGCCCCATGTTACCCCTAGATTACCAGGCTATCACAGGAGATTTTCTCTATCAGATTCTTTGCTGAAACTAAAGTAATGTCTATTACATCCACCAATCTAGCAACTCTTATCAAAAATATAAATGAGGTTAATTTGGTATAATTTATTACTAGTGCCTATCTTGCCATCCTTGTGGAAACTCCCTCCTTTTCTACATTTTCATAAATTAGTTGTTCGATGACTGCCTTTAGATTTTTGTTGTGATCAGTGCTGATTACCAATCTGTAATTTCTGCAGCTCAATGGGGAGGTGACAAGTCACAGCTTTGAAGGCAAAGCAGAGTACTAGTTGGGACACCATCTTAGGATCGTGGGTTCACCAGGAAGGAGAATTTCTTCTCCCACCAGTGGCCCCACCCCTGGACTACTTCTCACATTAGAACTACCTCCAGCCCTTATGACCTCTCCCTCTGACTGGCTTTTTAATGAGGAGCCCTGTCTTCAATTCTTTCCAGGCTGTGCTGACTCTCTGTGGATAGTGATAGAATGGATAGACTTAGTGGATAGAGCACAAGGCCCAGAGTCAAGAAAACCCGAGTTCAGATCCAGCCTAAGCCACATAATAGCTGTGTGACCCTAGGCAAGTCATTTAACCTCTGTTTGCCTCAGTTTCCCCAGCTATAAAGTGGGGATAAGAAGTGAATGAGCTGTGAGGATCAATGAGATATTTGTAAGGTGCTTGGTCCCTGATAGGCCCTTAATAAATGCATGTATCTCTCCTTCCTGGGAAATATGACATGAACACAAATATACAGGTAGACATGAATATGGGGTTATTGGTACTGTGAAAAAAAGATCGGAATTTAGGAATATTTGAGTAGGGTGAAGGAAGGAGCACCTGAAGGACTTAGATAAGGCTTCACAAAAAAAGTGGAGCAGGAACCCTAAAATTTCATCTGTACAAATGAGGGGGTTAGGCTGGAACAGGGGTTCTTAGCTTTCTTCATGTCATGGACCCCAAGGAACCCTCTGGCTCCTAGTGAAACCTGTGGTGTCCTAAGAAGAAGAATATTTGTTGCCTAGATTCATAATTAAAAGAAATGCTCCATTTCAGTTAGAGGTTAGTGAATATAAAGATGGAATTTGTTTCCGTCCAAGTTCATGGGCCCCCTGAAATCTATCCACGGATGCTTTGGGGGTCTTCGGACTCCATGTTAACAACTCCTGAGCTAGATGGTCACTAATGCCCTTCCAGCTCTAAATCCTATGAATACAGAACTGGATTTTTGTATTTGGGGCTTTCTGCCGGGGAGGTATCTGGTCTACTTCTGGGCACACAGTAGCTGCTAGTACTTACCATACTGCCTGAGTTCTGGTAGATAGAAGACTGATTAAAAACTCACTCACCAAGTATACTCATCACAACGAGGATGGCAAAAAGCAGGACTGCAATGGCTCCTAACAACAGGCGGGTTGTTGTATCTAGAACCGAGACGGGAAAGGGATTTAGCTCCTGCCCCTGTACTTCATCCCCCAAACCCAAAGCCCTTTAGCACAAGAAAGACTCAGAAAGCAGATGGGCTTGTCCCAGGGTTCAGGCCCCAGACTCGCAGGAAGGGGGAGACAGTGCAGATGCCCTCAACGCACTTCCTCTAGGCTCCAGCTCTAAAGTGCTTAGCAGGGGCATGACCCCACACCAGGTCAAGGGTCATGATCACTGCCTTTAACCGGCATCTTAGTGTCTCAGCTGCATCACGTGGCACCTCCATTCACCCTATACTCACCTCACCTTCTTATCACTTATTCTCTGATCTCCAGGCCTACGGGCTCTAGCTGGGAAATTTGTTTTCTGGTTAGATTTTGTGTGTGTGTGTGTGTGTGTGTGTGTGTGTGTGTGTGTGTGTGTGTTTTAACCTTCTCCTCATCACCTTCTTTATAGCACAAAGCTTCTCCCATCAGTGCCTTCGCTAAGTACAACCCCAGGGTCTGAGGGTTGTCGAGTATATGTAAGGGGAAGGGGGGGAGGGGAGGTGGAGAAAGAGGAAGAGGGAAAAAGAAAGGAAGAGAGATGTGAAGAGAGTATATTTTGATAGCTCAATCACTACAAAGCTCTTCATTAGAACAATTTAGAGAAGGCTTTTTAGGTCATTTAGTGTAACTAGGCCCTGGAGTCCTCAACACACAGAAAATTAAGTTACATCCCACTAATTCAAAACTTGTCCTCACTTAGGCACAAACTCAGCCAAAATTTGCCCTTTACAAAAAAAAAAAACACCATCCAAGTTAATAGTAGGGGAAAAGAACACAAGAGGAAATATCTGGCTTGGTGAAGAAATAAAACTGTTTCCAAGTAATTGTCTAAATTTGTTTGCATTCTTATTAATGTGCTAATTTCAAATGATTCTTATGTATTCATTAAAGCAGGGTTCTAGTTCTGTATGCACTTACTTAACCACGAAGTCTTGGAGTTGAAAGAGACCTTAGAGTTCACCTAAACCTTCCACCCAAGAAATCCTTCTATGTCATCCATCCTCTGTTTGGATATTTCCCTGGATGGGGAGCTCACTGCCTATCAATGTAATGATAAATGTCTATTGTGTCCAACAGCCCGTCTTAACTGTTACTGAGATCTTTCTTCTATGCAGTCAAATCTACCTCCTCATAACTTATACCCCCCCCTTCCTCTACCCTAATTAACTGATATAGTGAAATATGACTATATGAATGTTCTTGGGCATTTCTTTAACTTGCTTAGCCTTGTTTGAATCAGACATGGTACCTTGGAGACATAAGTAACTGAGCATACGCTTCAGAAGTCATCTAGTTCAAGCCTCTCATTTTATAAACAAGAAAACTGAACCCCAGAAAAGGGAAGTCACTTGCTTACTACATCGTTGTTGTCGAGTACTTTTTCTTTTTCAATTTTTTTTTTCAGAATTAAAACATGTGACCTTTAGTTCACCAAGTAGAATTGGGGCTCTTAACCTGGGGTCTATGAACCTATTTTTAAAAAATTTTTATAATCGTACTTCAATATAATTGGCTCCTTGGCAAGGTAGAGTACTTTTTCAATGATGTCCAACTCTTTATGACCCCATTTGGGGTTTTCTTGCAAAAGATACTGGAGTAGTTTCCCATTTCCTTCTGCAGCTCATTTTACAGATTAAAAAACTGAGGCAAACAGGGTTAAGTGACTTGCCCCAGGTCACACAGTAAGGGTCTCAGGTCAGATTTGAACTCCAGGCCCCGTGATCTACCCACTGCACACCCTAGCTGCCCCCTGCTTATCACATTAGGGCAAAAGAAATAGAATTCATTCATCATCAACCTTTCATAGTGCCTCATAATAGCTGGCACTTTAAACTTTACAAAGCCCTTTACATGCTTCATCTCTCTCGAAGCCCCTTTGAAGTTAGGCACTACAGTATCATTCTCCCCATCTACAGTTGCCTCAACTGAGAATGGAAGAAGCGACTTCACCATGACCGCATAGCTAGAATGTCAGGTGAAATCTGAACTCAGGTCTCTTTTGAACACTATTCTTTTTCACGTACAACATGGATTCACCTATGAACGTAATAGATTTTATAAGTTGTGATCTCTCCCCTCACAGAATTTGCAATCCAGCAAACCAGTGTATAATCTATTCTAAGGAATATAATGCAATCAACTTTCAATTATCTGTGGGATTGGGAAGAAGTGGTATAGATGACAAGGGCAGCTAGGTGGCACAGTCACTTAACTCTGCCTCAGTTTCCTCATCTGTAAAACGACACACCACTCTGTACCATTGTTTTCCCAGTCTTTGAATCCACAGTGCTAAGCACAGTGTCTGGAACATAGCAGGTACTTAATAAATGTTGAATTAAATTGAAATGAGAGGGTTCAACTTCAATACAAATTTAAAATGTGGCCCCAAGCACTAATGCTTAATTCCACCATATGCCCAGAAGGCTCAGAGAAAGCTGCCATGACATCTAGGACGTCATTACCTGGGGCCAGGAACCTTCAGCTGGTTGGGGGGGGGGGGAGTGGAAGGGAAAAGAAGTGGGGAGGGGAGGGTGGTGAGGAAGGAGGAAGAACAGACTGATGGACTGCAGAGAATTTATCATCTTGAAGAGCCTTTGCTGAATGCATGTGTGTGGCTTTAGTCAGGAAGCTGTGGATTTATACTAATGCGAGAAGCTCTAAACATTGAAAGGTTTGGTTTCAGTAACAAACTGCAGATCTCTAGCCAAGGATGTACATATTCACTTTTAGTCCTTCGCTTTCTTCCACCTTCACCTTCTCTGATCCCAGGCTGCTCCCAGCCCTTCTCAGTCTCCCCAGGTCACCTCCAGCCTTTCCACTGATTACGGCTGCAAGACAAAGCAACGTTCTCCCACTAAGACATGTTTGCTGACTCTCATTGAATTGCCCGTTATGTTAGAAGTTCCTGGGGCAGCTAGGTGGCTCAGTGGATGGAGCACCAGCCCTGAAGTCAGGAGGACCTGAATTCAAATCAGCCTCAGACCAAACATTTGAAACTTACTAGCTGTGTGACCCTGGGGCAAGTCACTTAACCCCAATTGCTTAAAAAAAAAAAGTTCCTAATCTGAGGCTGGGGGCAACAGAGAAACAGACAGGAGAGAGAGGCATAATACCAATGAGGGGGAAGCTTAGTACCCTATGTCTTTGGTTTCCATTCTTTCAGTAACTATATATAAATATGTATGTGTAAATAAATTAAAATGTGAATATATCAATAAAATACATGTTACTGTATATACATATGTACATGTATGTGTGTATATGTACATGTGTACATATATATTGGCAGTTAGGTGCCAGACCTGGAGTCAGGAAGACTCATCTTCCTAAGTTCAAATCTGACCTCAGACACATATTAGTTCTATGACTGGGCAAGTCACTTAACCCTGTTTGCCTCAGTTTCCTCATCTGTAAAATGAGCTGGAGAAGGAAATGGCAAACCACTTCAGCATCTCTGCCAAGAAATCCCCAAATGGGGTCACAAACAATAGGACATGACTGAAAAACGACTGAACAACAGCACCACATAAATATATAGGGTACTAAGTTTTTTCATATATATATGTATATATATATACACATACACACATATATACACAGATAGGTACATGCATATACACATACCAAGTGTCCATATATTTAAATAGCATGTATAAATATACACATATGTAGTGTTCCAAAAGACTTTTGGGATACCCTGTATGTATATATGAGTGTGTACTGATGTTTACAAGCATTATTGCTTGGAGGGAGATTCAAACAGTAAAATTGATCTATTACTTGAAATCCTCCCTCCCCAGTCAAGGTTTTCACAACAAAGACAAAATCCCTCTGTCAAAATTGAGCAAATCTATAAAGTTTAATCTATCCAACAGAATAATAGTAATGTTACTGTTGGGAAGGCCACTCTTGGAGATGATCTCTTCCTGGAAAACCAAGGGTCTGGTCACAAAAACCAAGGGACACACCCTTTGGATAAAAAAGAAGGTTCCAGTCTATTTGATCTTAGTTTTAGGGAATCCCAGGCTCCCAAAACTTGATTGTCTTCTAAAAAGGAAGACAGATGAGACTTTAAATACGAAGAAAAGAAAAAGAGTTTGAGTACATGACAGCCATGCTTTTTTTAAGTCTAGGCAAGATTTGAGCTTTAGCCAAGGACACTGCATTAATATACAATTAGTATCTAAAGTGAGGAAGAGAGAGGTAAATTTTGTTGTTGCTGTTCAATCATTTCAGGCATGTCTGACTCTTCATGGCCTCTTTTGGGATTTTCTTGGCAAAGATCCTGGAGTGATTGGCCATTTCCTTCTCCAGCTGATGTTACAAATGAGGAAACTGAGGTAAACAAGGTTAAGTGACTTGCCCAGACTCACAGCTAGGAAGTGTCTGAGGCCAGATTTGAACTCAGGAAGATGAGTCTTCCTAACTCCAGGCCCTTCCCTCCATAATCTGTGCCACCTAGCTGCCCTACAAGCCACCATACAGAGGGATAACTGCAGGGCAGCTAGATGGTACAGTAGATAGAGCTCCATCCTTGGGGTCAGGAGGACCTGAGTTCAAATTTAGCCTCAGACACCTCACACTAGCTGTGTGACTGGGGGCAAGTCACTTAACTCTGACTGCCTCACCAAAAAGAATAAAAAAGAGGGGTAATTGTTATTGTCTCTCTATTGCCAATATCTCCTCCACTTACAGTCCCTAAGATAGTTCAAGCTCTTATCACCACCACCACCACCACCCCCTTAGACTATTTCAATAGTCTCCTAATTGGCCTTTCTCCTGGACTCTCTCTCCATTCCAATCTATCCTCTACCCTGCTGTCAAATTGACATTTCAAAACACAGATCTGATCATGACCATGCAAGCAATACTCTTTTTTGGTGTCATGATCCCCTTTGATAGCCAGGTGAAACCTATAGAGTCCTTTTTTAGAATCACGCTCTTAAATACTT